GTGAAACAACTCCAGCATCAGAGACTCCAGTGATTCCAGCCTAACGCAGAGAATTATGTCATGTTTGCCAAAATATTAATGTGTGTTATGCTCCAGCGTTAACTAAAAACATTTCTTAATCCATCGGCTAATCCAAACAAACAAATTAGTATAATTGGAGAGTTGTGCTTGCAAATACAAAGCACAAAGAGAGGGAACACGAATTGTCTTGTTGTCATTCCTCTCAGGCAGCATGTGCAGCTAGTTCTGCTCCTTGCAGTCTGAGCATACTGCTATAATTGATGGCAACATTTATCATAACAGCAGCGCAAAAAGCATCAACTGCTTGATGAATTTATTTACTCCTGCTCAGAAGTGAAGCTATGATTGGACCACTTTATAAACATCAAACTGCTCTAGACCTGGTCTGTTGTTGTTGATTGCACAAGGGGAAAAGAGGGTGAAGAAAAAAGAATTAAAAACAAGGCAAAAAACCTTGATTGGGAGGCTGTAGGTTCAGTGAAAAGACAAATGTCTTTCATTAGAGGAAAACAACCATTACTTTATCTAATTAAAAAAATAAAAAAATAATGACTCTTGCATCCATGATCAACAGCTGCAGCATGTTCTGCTGCAGAGTTTAGTTCTTTCTCTGGCAGGATTTTTCCCCCAGCCCACAGTGCTCCTGGAGGCAGAGAGCTGTACAGAAAGCACCAACCTTCCAAACTAACCTGACAAGGACACTGGGCTCAGCAAGGCAAAGCCAGGAACCACACCACATCCCTATTTGGTCATCTCTTGTCTTCCACAGAGAAATATGGGGTCATGTCCTCTTTGCCCTGACTCAACCTAGCCATCTGAACCTATGCAAAACTCTGATACTTTTCCTGGGTGGATTCTGCACATTTTGTCCCCAGATGGAAGTAAATCCAATAGGAAATAGGTCCAATGGCTTTACATTTGCTAAGTTTCCAGACTGTATCTCTAAAAGGGTCTGAAAACATTGCTTGAGATGGAATGGTCTGCCACACTCAGTCTGCATGCTAATTAAGTATTGTGTTTTTTCAAAAAATTGTTTAAATATTTTCCTTTTTCTCTGGTTGATTCCTTTGACTCCTCTCTGAGAAGCACAGAGGACAGCAGTATCTGGAGATGAATTTCAAACATCCAGTTGCTGTTTGGAGCAGCCTCTATCCAGTCTACAGCAGAGCCAGCAGCATCATCACAGGATGATTCACAGACAGGGAAACAACACGAATTCCATTACAGGCTTCTGCAGGGTAAAGAGTTCACCCTTAATGAGATCTTAATGTCTTATAACTCACTAGATAAAATTTAGTTTATGATATTATGCTAAGACACCAAAATGTAGTCAGCCCTGATACAGTCAGGCTCTAAAGTCCATAATTAAGACTCAGTGCTTCAAACTGCTGAGAAACTCATATCTGATTGAGAGTAGATTTTTTTATTTAAAATAATAGGTTCTGTGCTCAATGGTGTCAACTTTCACAGCACTGGGACAAGGAATTCCAAACATGCCCTGCAACCAATAAATTTAAAAGCAGACAGAGGTACATCCCAAGGGGAACGGTGGGGAGCTGTTCTCCAGAGGCTGTGCAAGCTAGCAGGGGTGAACCTTGTGCAGGGCAGAGACCAATGTGCTCCACAAGCACTGCAGGAACTGCCAGCTGCTGTGTCAGGCCCCAAGCAGAAATAAGTGGGGTTTCAGAAGCCTCTCAGGCCTCAAGAGCACAAAGGTCACTCCATTTCTTTGTTCTTTGCATTCCTTAATGACTTGGGGAGCTTTATAAAATTCCTACTGAAACCTTTTAAATTCCCTTCCTAATTATGCAGCATCCAGCTCTGAGGAGGCACACAAGGCACTTTGCTGGAGAGAGTGCTACAAGCACCATGCTCCCAGTAACAGCCTGGGAAGGAGAATGGGAGCAAGCACACTGCCTCCTGAGTGCCTGCAGGACCAGCCTAATCTAAAGGTATTAATCTAAAGATTATTTTTATGAGTGGGACTCGTGTCCTCTTTATGTTTTATGCAGCGCTTCAAACTCCAGGTCAGTGTCACACAAAGAACAATAAGATAATCATAGTAATAAAATGCTAATCTAGCCCATTAACCTCTGCCTGGAAAATTGCAGCAGACCTGGCTTCCAATAACAATGCAGGAAGGCCTGAGGAAAGGGCAGATTAGACAGATTCCAGCACAGGGAAATAACCCACCAAATCCTGCTGCAGCCAGCTGCTGATGTTACACACCCCATGGAAAATTGGATGACAGCAGCAAGAACTGCTGGTGGCACAGTTTTCATCCTGGCTGCTGAGCACAGGAATTGAGTGAGCCCAGGGCAGCCCAGCCAGGGAGAGGGATGGCTATTAATGGCAAAGAAAAGCCTGCATAAGTAGGGGTAAGCAGTTTCCACCACACTCATCGCTGTTCAATGAAAGGCACAGCTGCACCTTTCTCTGAGTTATCAAAGATTATTTCAAAAGAGTACAGAATGGCATTTACAGCAAGATACATCCCACCCTCTCTTCTGTTACTCTGTTCTACAAAGCACTGGGATGTAGTTTCCTCCCTTTAGCAAAAGCCTATGGGCCAAAATATTGCTGCCCACACGAGGTGGCTGCTCACAGGCAACCTGGCCTGACCAAGTCCTTCAGAGGCTGGGCTCCATTTGCCAGAGAGGAGACAGATTTCCAACAGCTGCAGATGGGACATAGAGGAGAATTTGTCTCAGACAAATGCCTTGGTAGATGAACCAAGGCTGGCTCTGCTTGCCCCTGCTAACAGGAGTCAGCCCAGGCCTGGCTCTGGCAGAGCAAACAAATGCTGTGGGTGCAGGAACTGAGAACAGCGTGAGAAAACCACAGAGCAGGCCCTGTGGTTCCCTTTTCAACATGAATCTCATGGTTACTTCAAAAACCCTGTGAAGGAAGGCAAAGGGACTCTCTACTGGCTTTCAAAATTCAAGAGTCTTTCAACTGCAAGGAACAAATATCTATCAAAGACAATTATTTTTGCTTTTAGTATAAGTAGCTCCTTAAATAAAACCATAACAGCACATGGCAGCTGAGGACCTTGCTTCCCCCATACTAACAGCACCTCTGCTGTAAGCTTTGCTTTCCTTCCCTTTTGCATGACAGAATGTTCAATGACAGAATGAAAAGGCAATGGCATTTCCACGTGGTTACTGCTCTTTTCACTGAATGCAAAGGAAAGAGTTCCTCTGGAGTTACACCTTGGAAGTCTGAGCAGCTCTTCAGCCCCAAAGGCAGCAGAGGGGAGCTGAGGGTCTGGAGCTGGATGTGCAGATGTCCAGCTAGCTGGTCAGCTCAGCACAGAGCTCTGGGGGCAGGAGGATGCTGTAAGAGGAGCAGCACAGATCAGCCTGGCTGCACTTGCTGGCACTGCTCACAGCCACGTCAGGACAGGCACCAGGGCCTGACCAGTGGTGCTCTGAGCTGTTCTCACATGCACACGTTCTCTCACAGAAGAGAAAACCCCATCCACCATGGTTTGCAAGAAGTCCTCAACACCATCAGAGTGAATCCTTCCTTCATATCCCAATATGCTGTTGAGGGATACTTTATCATAGCTTTAACAGGGGTTTTTTTAATCATCAATATTATTTATAACTATTAATACTCTTTCTACATTATTTAACTATTTTATAAGCTTGCAAAAACCCAGCCAACTAACAGCCATTTCTCTGCAAACTATTAATAACCTCTCAGGTATGCCCTGGTTCCCAGCAGGATTATATGAAAGCAACAGTGGGATGTACAGCTCAGGGCAACACCAGGGGCACACAGTCAGAGGCAGGAACAAGGCACAGAGCTGCCAGCCACACTTCCTTAGCCTGGGTCTGCTGAGGAAGACCTTCCCCCCTGCAGGAGATGGAGCTTCCCTGCAAAAGCACACCACTATTGACCACATTAGAAGGGCATGAACAGTTTTGCTGTTTATTTTCCATTGTCTTTCAGCTCATTTCTTCTCTCTGCTGTCTTTCTGAATGATCTCATTCACTTTCTCCTACTTCACACCCCAGAAGGATCCCTAAGAATCACTCACCCTCCAGCCTGGGGAGGAAGGGGAGCAATGCTGTGAGGAGCTCTGAGCTGCTGCAGCCAGAGAGGAGCCCCAGCTCGGGTCCAGGATCCCCTGTGGCCATGGCAGCACTGATCCCTGGGGGATGAGCTCTCCCAGGTTCCTCTTGTCTTTCTGGGGAGCTCTGCATCTACCCTGAACTCTGATGGAGCTGCACCACAATGAGGAGTGACTTCAGACCCAAGCTGAGGCTGCTGTGCACCACCCTGCAGGCAGTGTGAACGAGCACCAACGCCAAGGCAGATTTAGACACTAGCTGAGAAATCTGCCTTCTCCCCAGCCCATCTTGCAAGAATAAAGCATTTTCTTTCCTCAGCCATGAGACACTAGCAGGGTTTGCAGGGCTCTGTCTCAGCTCCCTCCAGAGCCAGCCCTGCCTCCTGAGGCTGCAGCAGTCTCACCCAGGATGTTTGGTCTTTAAATTCAATTCCCTTAAACCAACAGCACTGCTGAGGCTTTCCCCTTCCATTCTCATTAGCAGACCAAATATGTTCTAGAATGAATTGCATAATTATATCAGCAAATCCATTTTCTCCTGTGATTTTTTTCCAGTTTCCCAAACTGCAGGGCTTCTTTTTCCCTGCAGAACTCCCCAAAGAGATGCCACAAAGCAAAGCAATCATGCAAAAAGATTTATGACAGTCATTTGTATACATGAGTATGCTCACAGACATTCAAGTTCCCTCTTCTGTCTTCTCCTTTTATTTAGTGTGAAAGCACAAGCTGTTCCCAAGTCACATTTATACATTTTTCATAAATCAGATACACTACTCATATCATTTTAAAGATGGACATGAGGGGGGTTTGTGTGTTTTCCTGTTTTCAGGGTCCCAGCATGCCTCATGCTTTTCCTGAAGTTTTTAAAAAAGCATAAAATTTAACCAAAAGTGACACTCACCTCATCATTAACCATGACCTGGGCTGAGCCTTTGCTCAGTGTAGGACTGGCACAAAGAGAGGGGAAGGAATGGTGCTGCAGACACAGCTCCTGCCTCCCCATCCCTTGTCTGATCCTGCAGCTTTCAGCTGAGTGCCACAAACCCAGAGGATGTCCATGGCTGCATGTCACAGATCACAAGAACACAACACAGAGGACTGGAAGCAGCAGGCACCTGCCTTGCTCTGCTTTGGCAACTCTCCTATGGCATTCCCATTCTCTGAAAAAATCCCTTCACCCAGGATTTTTCTCCTGGGAAGCTGAGACGTCTCAGAGTAAAGGAAAGCAATTCTTATCTCATTCGCTTCTCCTGTGTTGTGCTCATATGGAATGTGGCTGGAGATTATTTACCAACAGCTGATTGTTTCATTGGGTTCTGGAGTGAGTTGTTTTCACTCTTTGGCCAATCACTGCCAAGCTGTGTCAGGACTCTGGAGAGAGTCACAAGTTTTCATTATTATTTTTAGCATTCTGTAAGTATTCTTTCTGTATTCTTTAGTACAGCATAGTATTCTTTAATATAATATAGTATAATAAAGTAATAAATTAGCCTTCTGAGAACATGGAGTCAGATGCATCATTCCTGCCTTCGTCAGGGGTGCTCTGCAAATACAATACTCTCCACTCTGATCACATCAACATCTAAAAACCAGGCAAATGGCAGAATCCAGGGCAGAATCCTCCCCTGCTTTGCATCCTTTCTGCACAGGCACACAGCCCCCAGGAGGGCTTGGCAGGGGCACTCAAACCTCAGCACATTGTCTGTCCTGGCGAGGAGCTCAGCTCATTACAGCACAAACTGGACACACAGCAGCACTGAGAGAGCTCCTGAGCAGAACGTCTGCCCTCTTACCCAGCTGAATGCTTCCTAAGAGTTACCAGAAAATACCCATCTCCTGTGTTCCTGGGAACATTCAGCACAGAGAGCTGAAGGCCAGGGAGGACTTCAGCCCTGCAGAAATATTTCAGTGCTCAGCACAGAGCCTGCTCTTCCAGCTGCTCTCTCAGGCCAGGATCTGTGTAACCCAGAGCACACAGATTCATCTTTATTTGTGTTTATCACATGTTTTGTGCTACTTAAGGCAAGTGTCTTCTCTGCTGCAGCAGAATTGCCACAATTAGGATTTGTTAGACAATTTTTTTTTCCTTTCTTGGGGAGAAGTTGAACAAAGCATTTTTCATTCTTGTCAACTGAACATTTGCAAAACACTGGCATCTATTAGACACAAAAGTTAAAGAAGGTGACACTAAAAGCTAGGTAAAAAGAGAGTTTGGGCTGTTTCCTGTGAGTAAAAGACAAATAATTGCTAGACAAAAGCAGATACTTTCTGAAAACATTTCATTTAATTGGATATAAACAGTTTGCCTGATGATGATGTTTGCCTGGTGATGATGTTTTCCTAAACACAGGATGCTGAAGCTCTGTTCAGAAAGGCTTTGAAATGACGCTGAAAATGCCATTTCTGTACAAGAGCAGTATCAGAAAATGTTCCATATTTTAGCAGTCCAGAGTATCAAGATCACTCAGCAGTGGAAGGTGGTGAAAGGAAGAGGCTATAAAGTTATCAAAACAAGAGGAGAATATGTCCAGATTGGAGAGAACTGTGAACAGAAAGTCGCTTTATTTTTAAATGCTATGTTATTAAAAGCCTAGCATGACCAAATTACACTGAAATTGTTGCTAAGTGTTGAAAGAATAAAGATGAATATGACAAGAAGAAGGGAAAAACAAATCACACATTAGGAAAAAAACAGTTTCTAACCGACAGCAATTAAACCTGGGTATGAAGGTTAGTCTCCTGATGTGATTTTATTTCTAATTACTGCAAAGGTGGCTGTGTGAAGCTGTAAAGCCAGTCAAAATGTGTCTATCTCAAGATCTATGGATTATACACTTGGCAGATTATTTCTTACAGGGACATTATCAAGCTGCCGTTCCCAGTGCTCTTTTAAATAATCCTGTAAAGATAACAAGTAGTACTCTAATTAAAAACATTCTTTTCCATCATGTAAATCACTTTAAAGACATCTGTGACTGATATGATGGACATTACAAATTCTGGTAGCACCCACCCAAGCCTGTGCCAGCAGCACGCTGGTATATAATTTTATCTAATTGATCAATTAAATTAAAATAATCTTTGAAACAAGCTATAATAAGAGTTGTATAATTCCAGTGCTACCTATTATATTCCTTGCCTCTTTATCTCCTCTGTCTCATTAAAATATTCATCCAGGCCCTGGCTGAGTAATAAAATGGCAGCTCTGATGGTTTCATGACAGAGCAGTGGATGAGCTATGGCTGAACAGTTCAATTAATTCCAGCCTCTCCCCACGTTAACTGTTTCTTACTGGTATAAAAAGTATTGAACCAGGTCCTTTTCTGCATCCCAGTCATTTCATTGCTGGCAGCAATTCTCAGCCTTTAGGAGGAAACCAAACCCAACACACCCCCCATGGGATGGCAGTTTCAGACAGCAGGTTCTTCGTGGGGATGCTCTGTGTCGGCTGGGTGCAGACAGGACCTTCTACAGAAAATCTCCCACTGTATTTGTTTCATCTCATCATTCTATGAACAGTGTCAAAATGTCATTATCTCCACCTCTCTGTCAATTGGAAGAAACAGCACATGTGATATTCTTTTCCAGGTGGTATTCACAGGTAGTTTAAAGTGAGTTCTGATTGCTTTGCATTATTCAGGGACAAAGAAGCACACACGGGGGAAAGCTGAGAGACAAATAGTCTAGGGGTTTAGGAAAAATAAAATAAAAGAAGGGGAACAAAGAACCTGGAAGATAAAAACTGCAGAAATCCCAATCTAAGATCTTGCACAAAGAAAATTTAGTCTTTCATATTAATTTACAATAATTTTGTAAACCTCGAGGAAAGAAATCTAACTCTTACATGGGAAAGAAGGAAGCTAAAAGAGATATTCTGCCCTGCCCAGATGACCATAGCCTTTTCTGGGATGCTGATCTCAGGAGGGTGAAGTTTCCCATTTTTTCCACAACTCAGTATATTGCAAATGAAATGTATTGGCTCAGGCAGACAGAATGGGGAAATTCTATTTCAGTCAGCCAAGATCGATGAGCAGACTACTGACCAGTAAAAGAGTCAAGAATTAGCAAAGTAAAGGACTTTTTAATGGAACTTTATATTGTCAATCTCCATCTGCCATCCAGAGTCTTCAGTCAAAGCAGGAAATTTATTCAGACATTATAACCACCTAGCCTTACTCTGACATTGGGACTTAACATGCCTTCTCTTGTTAATATCATTCAGCAACAGCTGCATTATATTACCTGTCAAAAATTATTAATCCAATTCTGTTTTCATGTATATTTATCATTTTCCTGCCAACCACAGTCAAATGATTCTGTAAGACACATCGATTTCCTGAATGAATTAAATGAAAAGTGTCTGTCATAAGTTTTACAGACAGTGGAGTGATTTTCAGGTACTCTCAGTTTTTTTGGTGTATTTTATTCCCAATAATCTGCAGAAAATAATCGGGGAACAGGGATGTACTCATTATGAGACCTTTTTTGCTTCCTTAAATTTTACTTAGAAGAACCGTGCCATGGAGCCAAATATTTTTACTTTCCTCATATTCTTACTTCATTTCAGGTAAGTTCCATGTGCAAAATACTCTTTTACCATAACTGCTCATCTGAGTAGTTCCCAGAATCAGAGATAACCAAGTTACAGAACAACAAAAGGGTTTGGGTTGGAAGGGACATAAAGCCCATCTCATTCCAAACCCCAGCCATGGGCAGGGACACCTTCCACCAGCCCAGGTTTCTCCAAAGCCCTGTCCAACCTGGACTCTTCCAGGGATCCAGGGACAGCCACAGCTTCTCTGTACCAGGGCCTCAGCACTCTCACAGTAGAGAATTTCTTCCTAACACCTGATCTAAACCTACCCTCTTTCAGTTTGGAGCCATTCCCCCTTGTCCTGTCATTGCAGTTCCTGAAGTTCCATTTTAACAAAACCATTCTGTGTCCTGCCCTTCCACTCAAATCGTGACACCCAGCACATGGGAAGTCCTTGCCCATCTCCCAGCACATGCCATGACAGCTCTCAGACCCTGTTTAAACAATTCCCCATTTACAAAACACTGCCCAGGTGGTGCAGGGGAGCACAGACTCCACTCTGCCTTCCACAGCTACATGGCAAGAAGTGCAACACAGCTCCTGCAGTGGATGAATATTTACCATTTATATCTAGTATCCATAAAGAGAATGTAATGCATAGCAAAAACCAAGTGTGAATTGTTGAAAGACAGCTGGAGGTCTTGGTCATTGAACCCGGGAGTCCTGAGGAAACAGGACACTTCTCAAGCAAGTCCCTTTCATTATTTTCTTCAAATGAAATTATAATAAAGTTCACCGTGCCTAAAGCAAAAATTAAAGTCCACAGGGACTTCAAAAGTGACAAAAGGATAAAAGTTATGTTAATATGAACAGAGAGTTTCCTTCAATCCAGAGCAGGAGGTGCCAATCACCTGGAGATAACAGACAAACCTTTCAATGACATTCAACTGACTGGTGAGAAGTTGTTATTTTTCTGGAAATGTCTTTTCCTTTCAACTCCCTTCAAGTATTGATGAACTGAACAAAAACCTTTACAAGTTCCTTTGTCTCCCCTCCAGCCCATCTCCAAGGGTATCTTGTAGATGCCCCAGTGTTGGGAATATGCATCCTGGAGAGGTTCAGCTTGCACAGGACCACGACTGAGTGGGGAGGCAGAGTGACTCTGATTCATCTCAATTTGATCATGCCAGTGGGAACACCCAGAGCTGCTCATCCCTCAAGCTGACTGCCTCCATCCCATTCCCTAGGATACAACTTCACCCATCCTCATTATTTGCAGGCAGTAAATCTTCCCCACCCTCCAAAGGACCGAGATGCAAAATGAAGCATTGTTTTCAGGGCTCTCACTGCCAGCAGCTGAGTGATGCTTCTCAGAACGACACCAAATGAGCTGTGCAACACAGCCTGTTATGAGTTGGACCTTGTGTGCAATACATCAAGGTTTTAAATGTGAGACACAGCACTGTGCAGGTGAGGTTTGCTGCACGGGTTGTAGAACAGGCATGGTGCTGAGCTGGGGAAAATGACAGCTCAGCAAAGCATTTGCTGCCTGTGCTCTGGGCTCTGGACATGCAAAAAGAACAGCAGCTCTGACCAGGACCCTCTCTGACAAGCAGCACATTGCCCAAACAACTATTTCACATTAGTGAACCATGCACAATAGTGAGTTTTTCC